GGGAAATGTTCCCTCAAAACCCCAGGTAACTGCTGAGAGTCAGGTGTAGGGTCTCTGAGGCTCTGCACAACCCAGTGCCCACAACAGTCAGGGAGCATGGCCATCTGATGAAAGGCCCCCACCTGTGCCTGGCAGGGAGTGCCTGGGGAGCAGGCTAAGTGGGAGGGTTTGGAGGAGTGGTCTTTTGACCAGCCTAAGGGGATGCCAGTCCAGAACCGAGAGAGAAAGCAAAGCCAGACAGATTGCAACAAGTCAAGGAAGCTGGCACCATTATTGGCCAGGAGAGGGGAGGGGGAGTACACAGCATAGGACAGAGACAAGAGAGTTCCTCCCTTCCTTTAGCCAACACATCCTTTCTGAGCTGGAGCTTTGTGACAGGCGCTGTTCTAGGCTCCAAGGCCTCTGTGACTACCAAGACAGAGTCCCTGCCTTTGTGGACTGCATATAACACGGAAGGAATATCTTTTTAATAAAAACCCACTATGACAGGGACAGTCACCATGAAGAAGAAAACAGACTGATGGAGACCCCCACAGAGCATGCTGAGAGAGAAGACCATTTCTTTCATAGTCAGATAGGAAAGGACACTTGGAGGTTATGGGATCTGAACTGACACCTGAAAGTTGCAGAGAAACCAGGGACGCTCAGGGGATACACTGAGCATTCACTCCACAGAATATGCAGGGGTCCTTTGTCGCACAAATGAGCTTGGCATTTCAAGGGGTAGAAAAAAAGACCAACCTGGTGGAAGGAGAGGGAGATGGGCCAATTCGTATAGTGTCCTAGGGATCATCAAGGAGTTTGGATTTATCCCACGGGTAATGAGAGTCCACAAGACGGTTTTAAGCAAGGGAATTGCTTGATCTGATTTCTGAGGATGTCCCTGCTCCGTGGCCATGCAGTTTTCTAAAGCAAACAAGAACGAGCCAATCTTATTTTCTTGGGGATAGAGAGGGCTGAGGAGGCAGGGAAGACATGGGATTAAGGACTTCTGGGTCTGCGATGAATCTTGATCTCAGCGGGCTGTTTGATAAAGGTTCTCACAGAGGTATGGGTGGTATGGAGTCCGTTGCTTTGTTTTCTCCACATGCTGATACCCTAACCGGGTTACTGTCATGCTACTGTCCTGCTGCAAGTAGGGTCTTTGGCAGTGTCCTCATGGCTCTGCCCCGGACTCTTTCCTAGCTAGACAGTTCTAACTGTAAATTGGTGGAAGATTCCAAGGACATGCTCATCAGACATGCTGCTGACATGTGGCTGTCAGGGATGGCTAATGCCACAGATGACAGGCTCAGGAGTCGCCATGGTGATCTTCCGAGGGCTAATGTTATGGGGATGGAGAGGCAACATCCCTGATTGCATTTAGATTGGGGAACAAAGCCCAGGCAGGAGCTGGGGCACTTTGATGGAGGAAGTCTCCAGGAAGGAGGCTAAAGAGGTTGATATAGCCCAGGAAGTGGACCAGCTGTATTCCCCTACACAGGCCTCCTTCCTAGAATGACGACAATATTCTTAGTCTTTCAGGGCTACTCTTCCAGTCTGTGAAGTGGGGATGATACCATCAAGTGTCTGGGAATGTGGAAGGGACCAAGTGTGTGCTGAATGTTGCTCTCTGGCCTCCCGTTTGCCTTGTGGTAGATTTATAACAAATGATGCCTCACGTGGCCTTGGGGGGGGTGCCTGGAGAGCTCACAGCTGGGCTGTGCACCTCTATTCTAGGCACAGTGCTTTCTTCTAGCTGTTAAACAACCCCATTGACCTGGGCAGAGCACCCAGAGGGGAATGAGCCGAGTGAGTCAGGTTTGAATTGTTCCAGCTGCCCACAGCAGTCTGGTGTTGGTGACAGGCTGGGCAGAGGTGGGTTAGGGTGTCTTTTTACAGATATAATCACTGATAAGAACACCGGTCATCTGGCTTGCTATGCACCAGGCTTGTGTTGCCTTTGCCTAACTTACCTACCGCACAACATCTAATGCTGAGAGGCAGTTACTTCCTTGACAGAACGGGGAAACAAGGCTTAGACAGAAGGTGAGGGGCAGCACAGGAATTGCCATCCAGCACCCACTGCTCATTTTCCATCGCCTGGCTCCCAGGTTGGGAATGATGGGAATATCAGTTGATGTCAAGTGAGAACCATGCCTGGGGTGTTTTGATGCAGGGACCTCACGGTCTTTTAGAAGGTGTTTTCTATGGAGGGTTTAGGGGATAACTCAGTCATTCAAGTACTAGCCTTTCAAGTACCCTTGGACCTAAATTCAACTCCCATAACCTACACAAAAGTGGCAGGTGTGGTGGTATGTACTTATAAGCCCATCCCTAGGGAGGTGAAGACAGGAGGATTCCAGGGGCTTGCTAGTCAACCAATCTAAACTGATTGATGGACTCTGGACCAGTGGGAGACTCTGTGAGCAATGTTCCTAAGGAAGACACCTGAAGTTGACCTCTGGCTTCTGCATGTACATAAGCACACAACACCCCACCCACCCACACAGGTAGTCTTGCACACACACACACACACACACACACACACACACACACACAAACACACAGAGAGACACTGGGAAAAAAAAGCTGCTTTCCTACTACTTGGTGCCTTTTTGAAGATTCAGCGCGTGACTCTTGTGTGTGTATGTGTAACCCAGAAACCAAATATAGATGCCAGTAGACTAACGTGATGGCCCCAGGTGTCTGCCTCCAGCTTTCCCGGTGATTGACACGTAGAGCCTATGAAGGCTTTTGTCTGTGGTGCCCTCTCCCTCCCTCCTCTCTCCCTTCCTCCCTCCTCCCTTCCTCCCTCAGCTGGATTAGTTTTTAAAGGAAACCCCAGATATAATTGATCTACCCCCATTTAACGTGTAGCTCTGAGAGATAAAGGCTTCTTTTGTTGTTTAAGTGTGACCACAATACCATGTTCACAGTGTTAAAAAAAACAAAAAAAGCATCCTTGGGGTGAGGCTAATTCAGAAAAGCTATTGGCCTACAGCTGGCTTTCCAAGGTGGGGTGGGGGGGCGGGAGAAAACTAAAACTGGCCCTTCAGGTGACTGACTGGTCCTTCCTAGGAGTGGAGACACACCTGATCCCTTGAAAGGGAGGAGGAGGATCTGAAACTTGGGGCATCCTCTTTACTCTGATTGTTCTGAGGGCACAGCGGTGAGAGTAGGGCCTATTTATAGCCCTAAGTCTAGACATAGGAAGGAGGCAAAAGGAAGGAAATATTTGAGAGGGAGAGAAGAGTTATGAGGGAAAGAGAGGCTGAGAGTAGGAAGTGAGTCTTCTCTGTAGACCATCAAGGCTCTCTTCCCCTGGTTCTGAGGGAGCTGTGAAACTGCCTGTTTTGTACAGACCTGTGTGCATTGAGAAATGGCCGTGTGTGTGTGTGTGTGTGTGTGTGTGTGAATTTCCGCATAATTAAACGTCACTATCAGAAAAGTAGGGGCATCCCATGGACACTGTTTTGCGTACTTCCTGTGCCTTCTTAGTGGATAGTGGATTGTCAAATAGACCATGTCTTGGTTTACCTACAAGTGAAGCTGTAGCAGCTGAACATGACATCCCTTTTATTTTTTTCCCTTCTGTCTCTTAACCATCTTCCCTTTTCCCATGCCCTGGGTGGCAGCTGATTAGGTTTCCACAATGTGCCAGGCAACGGTACCTGCCCCTTCCAGGAACCATTCGAGTATGCATAGCTGATGCTTCTAAGCTGGGGTTCCCGAGGTCCCTGGGAACGCAGTGAGGAAGGTGCCCCTCACCAAGGTTGCTAGTAGGTTGGGATGGCAGGCTTACCACCTCCTCCCTCACATGAGGAGAACCACTAACCAGGAGCTAGGTATTCATTGACCCATCAAGTGTCATCAGGTTGTTGGGGTCTAGATCAATGTTGGAGATCAGGGACAGTGACAGTGGTGCAGGGAGAGCCTTATGAACTGGTTCAGTGTCCAAGCAAATCCACACACACACACACACACACAAATCAGAGGCCATGACCCTGTCGGGGGCCACGCCAGCAATGGTGGATACAGGTATTTAGATGGTTGCACTGTGGAATCTGGGATGCAGGATTTGGTCAGGCTGTGAGCCTGAGCTATGCAGACATAATAGCTGATAGGTGGATGACCTTTGTGAGAGTGCCTGGACTGTTCAAGCAACCTTCCCCCCATCTTCCTGGGAACCACACAAGGATATCAGAGTGCCTGAGACGCTGAATAGCTTGCTCAGGGTCATACAGATGAGCAGTTCCCAGTCAAGCAATAGTCTGACATATCTGTCTATCGCAACAACTGATCAGAAGACCAAAAAGGTCTAGATAGGCGCCTAAACAGATACAACCAGAAATCAGACTAACCTGTTCCGAGCTCAACCTCCAAGCCCTGTCTGATGAGGGTTGGGGAAGGGGCACGCAGTTTCCTGGCCAAATGCACCAATTTGTAAGACCTGGAGTCTCACTGCTCAGGAGCTCAGGATCGCGCCCTTGCCAGGAACTCTCAAGACCACAACTCGATGTAAAAGCAAGAGGTTTTATTGCTATTGAGATAGGGTCGCCCCTCCAAAGACAGGAGATGACCCCGAACATGCAAAGCACAGGGTTTTTATACCTGAAAACCAGATCACTTTTGCTCTATAGTTTACAGCTGGCTGTAGCTAGTTTACAGCTGGTTGTTTCTCAGAACAGCTCACCCCATCAAGAACTCTCTGCACCTGGCTTCAATTCAAATAATCACAGTTGTTTTTCTCATTCCCAGGTGGCCCCTCATTCCCAGGTGGTCCCTCAATGGGCTAGTGGGTACTGTTGAGCCCTATTGGTAGTTGGCTTTGTGTCTACCTGGCTAATCTTTCTTCTTGAGAAAGCAACAGGTTTTCTCACGAGGAAACATGATTTCAACAGGTTGGGAATCCACCCTCTTTTCCCAAAGCCTGCATCCTGCTGGCAGGGCCACTGGTTGGTGAGCCAGTGAACATACTAACTCCTCTGTGTCTTTGTACCCTTTTTTTTTTTTTTCAGAGCTTTGGAGCTGAGCAGTGGCAAGGATGAGATCTCCCTACTGGTGGAGCAGGAGTTCTTAAGCCTCACCAAAGAACATCTCGTCTTGGTCCAAGAGGGCTCTGGGGAGCTTGCAACACCTATTGTCACTCCCCAGGGGACTCGAGAGCTGGCGCCCTGCTTTCTTGTGCCTCCTCTCGGGGTAGACAGCACTGAGTATGCAGGGTCCTCCATAATGGCTGGTGACAAGCTTCGGGAGCAGAAGTTATCCATGCCCATCATCGGTAGCAGGCAGGACTCTGATTCTGCCATGTCTACAGTCACGGACATCCTTCATGCTGCCAAGATCAAGAGTGTCAAGGGGACTAAGGACAAGGGCCATAGTCTGGGTGCCTCAAATTCGGAGATCAGCAAGCTCCTGGCCCAGTTCCCGCTGAAGTCTACTGAAATGTCCAAGGCCCCGGACAACAAGATGGTATTGGAAGAGACCAAGGTCATTAAGGACTTCCTGCAGAATAGCATGTTCAATGGCTCCAGACCCCGAGAGCCTATGGGGCTGGGCCCATTCCTGCTGCTGCCACCACCACCTCCTCCCGCACTCCCTGACAAGATCCCTGAGTTCTCTCCTCCAAAGAGGCAGCTCCCAGTGTTTGCCAAGATCTGCTCCAAGACCGAGGCTGACCCCAATCTTGAGGGCCACCACTGGATTGGTGAGTGGGACTGAGAATGGGAGTGAGGGGGTTTTCAGAGAGGAGAGTCTTGATCAGGAAGCTGATAAAAGCCACGGTGCATATTTGTGCAAAGCAAAACAGTGCAGTGTGTGTGTGTGTGTGTGTGTGTGTGTGTGTGTGTGTGTGTGTGTCTGGGTAAGTATGTGAATGTGAGCATGTTCATTTGTGGAGGAATACACATATGCTTATGTCTGGAGGCCAGAGGTAATGTCAGGTGGCTTCCTCTGTGGCTCTCCATCTTATTTCTTGAGATGGGAACATTTAGGGTCACATAGGCAGAGTAGCTGGCCAGTGAGCTCCAGGTGTCCTGGCTCTGTCTCCCTAGCACTAGGATTACAGACATAAGCCATTGCATCTAGCTCTTTATATAGATTCAGGGAATCCAAAACCAGGTTCTCAGGCAGATGTGACAAACATTTCACCAATTGTTTGTGAAGGCCCTGGAAGACGTGTGATTTCTGATTTACTAGGTACCCAGAGCATGCTGGGGGAAGTATTTACTTTATCAGGAAGGGTCCCTGCCTGAGGTTTAGGCTGGGAGAGAAAGTTGGTTGGCATCTGGAGGTCACTTACCTCGTTATGGAGGAACCCACACTAGTCATCAGGACTGGTCCACCCTCTCTAGGGCATAAGTTATCCAGGCACAGTTCAAACTGTAGCTCCTGGGATTTGTCCTCTGGTACTCCAGAGGCTCAGATAAGCATGTTTTCAACACTTGAATAGGAACTCCAGTCTTGCCAGGCATCTCATCCCCCTCCCCATGCTCCCTACCCATCTCTGGACTTTGTGTATGTTCAGACTATTTGCCCACAGTCCCCAATCACTAGGAGAATACATTATACTCATGCCAACCAAAAGAAAGGTCACCCCCAAGCTGAAGTGTGCTGGTTAACTGACAGTGCCTGTCTGGGGAGGGCCTACACCCTCTTCTCTGAGAAACAAGAACAAGTTATGCCAGAGGGCTCGTTGTACAGGGTGAGTGCACTCACTATAAAGCACAGGGGTGGCACATGTGAGGGTGCCTGTGTGTGAATACTGGTGAGTGTGCTTCAAGTGTGTGTGCTTGTATAGTTAGGGGGCAGCAGAAAGATAGGCAGGCAAGGAGGAGGGAGCCACGCAGAGAGACAGAGACAGACAGACAGACAGAGGGAGAGGGATAGAGAGTACCCAGCTGTTGGGGGGGGGGTGTCTCACAGATGTTCAAGAGACTGACTGTAGGTGTGTGAGAGGCTGCAAATATGCCAGCCTCTGGGGAAAATAACTATTATTAGTGGTGATTTCAGCATTCTAGCTGGGGGCTAAACTCAGCAACCAAGGAACTCCTGGAAGAGACTCTGGGGACATGTTCTGCTGAAAGTGTCATAGTCTCCTAAATTGGCCCTGGCTAGAGCAGTGCTTCCCTTTGCTGGGAAGTTAAGGTCCAGGCCCAATGCAGAGGCCCTCAGGGCTGCTGGGTCGGTTGGGGGTCCATGATATGATGGTAACACTGGCACACAGGTTCTTGGATCGGGCTACTATCAGAATTCCCAAGTGCCAGCAAGGTGTCTAGGGCAGCACTAGCCATCAGCCTGCAGATTGGCTTCTCAGCCAAGCTCTGTAGAGGTGTTCAGAGATAGCCAGTCTGAGGAAGGAGCAAGGGGCAGAGGGCAAAGCCAGCTTTCTGTTTTTAATTGTAATTATGTCCATATATGTGTGTGACTATATGTATACAGTATATAAAATATGTGTGTGTGCACATTTATAAAGTTATCTCCTTATTTCTTGGAGAAACACCCGATCCAAAGATGCTCAAGAGCTTTACACATACTGGTATACAGCCTAAGCACTTCCTCCCACACACTATAGATGACTGATGATGCCTAATCCAATGTAAATGCTGTATGAATAGTGGTTACAGCACGTTGTTTAGGGAATAATGGCAAGAAATTTTGTATGTGTTCAGTGAGGACACTGCTTTCTTAGAATGTTTTGCCTCCACTACCTGCTCCCTCCCTCCCCCCATACACATTCCAGTTTTGAAGAGTCACAGCAATGAAGAGTGAGAGCTCTGTGTCAGAGTGTTCTTCTGGGAGGGATGGGTGCTCTGAGTACTTCAGTGAGGTCTGACTCTGGCGCCTGTGCAGGCCCTCTGTACACTCCCGTCATTTACCATGACTCATTTTGTCCCTTTGATGTTTCCCAGCATTCATCTGTAGTTGCCCAGGCCTGTAACACCTTCCTGATAGCCTCACATAAGAGCCTTGCTAAACCTTCCCTCCTTCTGGGCTTTAGGATCCTCTCAGACAGACAAGATCCCAGCCAGTATCTTCTCCCATTTTGTCTCTTTGTCACCTCATAGTGCCCATCTGCTGTGTCCTAGAGCTATTTCTGGGCACATTTCCCTCTTCCTTGTGTGAGCTCTTGCAGGGCAGTCTGGCTCTGACTCATCACTGTGTCCCCAGTACTCAGGGCTTGGCCTGGCGCTGATGGGAGAGCTGAACGGCCTGTAAGAATCACAGCAGAGGTGAAGCACATGATGAGGGACTAAACAGCACGGCCCAGACTGTGTGTTCTGTAGGGAAGTGTGTCCCCTTAATAAGCCACGTGCTCCCTCATGGCTGGACCGCATCCAAGCACTGTGGATGGAAAGAAGGAAGGAAGGGAGAAAGGGAAAAATAATGGGAGAAGGAAGAGAAGAAAGGAGAGAGGAAGGGAAGGATAAGAATGAATGGCCAGGCATGGTGTTGCACGCCTTTAATCTCAGCACTCAGGAGGCAGGGACAAGCGAATCTCTGTGACTTTGAGGCCAGCCTGGTCCACATAGTGAGTTTGAGGTCAACCAGGGTTAAACAGTGAGGCCCTGTCTAAGAAAAACAGAAGAAAAAGATATGAGTATCTGGATAGATGAATGGATAATAGATGGATAAATAAATGGATAGATGATGGATGGATGGATGGATGGATGGATGGATGGATGGATGGATAGATGAGTGGATAGATGAATAGATAGGTAGGTGAATGGATAGATGAATAAATAGACAAGTGGCTGGCTGGATAAACCAATGAACAGATGAGAGAATGTAAAGATGGATAAGAGCAGATGGGTGAGTAGGTAGGTGAATGGATCAATAGGGAGATGGATGAGCAGACAGATAAAGAGGCAAATGTATAAGGCAAGAATCTGGGCAGCAATCAGAGCAGACGTCAGCATGAGCCTGTGGATGCAACTCACTGAGACCCGGTTCCTCATGTAGCCTAGACCTCAGTGTGAGCTATGGGCTACAAGAAAGTAATCTACAAGAAGTATTTGCTTTCCAGAGGTTTTGACTCAAGCTCTCTCCTGTAGAACGAACCCCTGGCACCAAAGAGCTGGCCAAAGGTCGAGAGAGCCTCTTTCTTAGCCAGTGGCCCCAGAGCCGGAAGGACACCAGTGGTGAGGAGGCTCACAGTGACACAGTGGGCACCATCTCTGTGACTCTGCCAACCAAGAAGCCTGTGTGGCCAGTTGAGAAGAACCTGCTCTATGAGTTCTTTGGGACCACCAAAAACCCCAGCGGGCAGCTGAGGCTTCGAAGCAAAGTAGATATGGACGGGCTGGATCTGAAATGTAAGTGAAATCTACCTGGATGTGTACCTGGAAACCCTCCTAAGTCCAGGTAGGGGTACCTCATCCTGTCCATGGGCAAGTCACTGTTTACCCTTGGGTCTCAGGATTTTTAACTCCATCAAATGGAGGAAATGATTTTCTTCCGGCATCCCCGGAGGGAATCCAACTGCTAGAGGAATGTAATTGGTTTTCAGAGATCCCACGGGCACAAACAAAAACTGATGTGGCACACACCTCCAACCTGAGATGTGTTGCAGCTTCTCAGTTCGCCACGGAGAAATCCATGCTTTGTACTATTTCCACAACGAGAGAATTAGTGACCCAGCCCGGCTGCCTCTCCTTTGCCCTCCTACAGCTGCATCAGTCATAAAGCCAAAAACCCCTTTCCAAACACAAACAAGTCAACAAAAAAGAGATGCTGATTTCATAGCCCATGGATGTCTCTGCAGAGGGGAAAAATCCAGTATTCATGCCCAATAACAATTAAACTTAACCTCATTCTTTTAAACTCAGTATTAAGTTAGCCCGCACTGAACTATCTCATGTTTTTAAATACCTGGCTTTGAGAACTAGAGAGAGGGCTCGGTGGTCAAGACTGCTTACTGTTCTTCCAGGGGACCTGACTTTGGTCCCCAGCCGCGCATGTTGAATGACTCACAGGACTCTCTCTAACTCCAACTCCAGGGAATCTGACACCTGCCCTCTTTACACACACATGACACAAACACACATGTGCACGTGCGCACACACACACATAAAGAAAAAAATAAAATTAACCTTTGAAATATTTAGAAAACCATTCCCACGCACAGAGCCAACAACCTGCACAAAGTTTCTAGTGTTGCCGGGTAGCCACCCCTGGCCCCATGGATTTAATCATTACGAAGGAGGGGCCCTTCCTTTGCAACAGCTTTGCACTGGTCTGGACAAAGCTGGAATTCGGCTTTGCAAGCAGGTGAAATACAGCCCCAGCAATGTGGTTTATCGCATGCCTTGCTCACCAGCCTTGTTTACCAGTGAGTGATGGGGAGAGAAGCCAGTCCTTCCAAATGAGCAAGCGCCATTAGAAATCCCCTAGACTTAAAAGGACCCTCTTGGAAGTTAAAGGACCTCACCCTCGAGAATATGTACCCCAGGTAGTTGTGGCCAAGAGGGCTTCCAGCTTCTCCCTGAGACAGGCACTAGATGCTCTCCCTCTGCTGTGACTTGCAGTTAACCCACCTGCGACGACACCAGTGCCAGACAAGAACAACATTAAGTATGCTGGGAACGTTTTCGCCCCCCGCTTCACCACAGCCTTGACCTCCACCACCCTGAACCAGCCTCTCTGGCTCAATCTGAACTGTCCACCTCCACCGGTGTTTTCCAGCCACTCTACCTTCCCACAGTATCAGGTAAGCGAGCCGCTGCGGCAGCAAGAACCTCAGGACTCCCCTCGAACACCATCCCTAACCATAGGTTACATGAGGGTTGAGAGCTGACACCGTTAACCCTCAGACCTCTGCTCTTATCTTCATAGTGATCAGACCGCCTCACCACTTGGTGTACACACGCGCACACACACACACACACACACACACACACACACACACTCTCATGTGCTCCCACACGTGAATACCATGTATGCACACATGATCTTGGGATCCTAGCTGAAAAAGAATTACAACTCCCACACAGAATAGATCGTGAAGAACTTGTAGCCAGGTTTGAAATTTTACTCACGGAGCTTATTTATTCGAGGGAAAATGTAGTTTCTTCATTTTATCCATTTAACTTAATATCCCTTAAGAGCCGTGGCCTGCTTGGTAGAAGGAAGAAAGAATCAAATAAATGTCCACTCTGGTTTAAGCCTTTGTCCGATCCAATAACTTAACAGTCCCCTTAGGTAGTACTCCGTGTTTTCAGGAGAGGCGCTCAGCGTCCAAGATTTCCCCCATCGCCTTCTGTTCCTGCTCCTGGCTCTTCTCCATCGTGTCATGTAGCTCCTCCAGGAAGCACAGGGTCTCAGATCTGTGCATCCAGACCTTGAGCCATGTGCTGGCCTGGCCCACCCTAAGCAGGTCTGGAACGTAGAAATGGAGAAGGAATTTGTGTCACGCTCAACTTGTCTTCCTCCACGTTCATTCTGCTTGGATAAAGTGCCATTCCTTTGTTTAGGACTAAGCAAGAAGCAAATGGCCTAGACACCCCAGGTAGGCAGGGGGCCTCTCTGCTCTAAGGACTCCCTTTCATCTTCATCTTAAAGGAGCTTAGCGAAGGACCTGTTTCTGTTTTGTTTTCAACATTTTCAGAAAGAAAGAAAGAAAGAAAAAAAAATTAGTCCCTGCTTCCCCACCCTCCACCGGTACAAAAATCTTTGCAATTCATGATGAGGTAGAGATTGTCCACAGGTAATCACGGGGCATCATCTTCACATTAGTGATATCATCTGCACACAGTCTCGAGAGAAGCATCGGGGTCATTAATTCATGGCTTCCTTCACTGGCGTTCTCAGCCCCTTGCAGTTTGGGGCTTGCCTAATTCCCGCTCATTTATTCACCTACTCATTGACTGACTGATTTTTATTTATTTATTCATCTTCTTAAGTAATTTTTAAAGACCTTTGCTCTGTGCTTACTGTAAGCTGAGCACTGTGCTAGATGAGGGCACTCAAAGGTGATGAAGAGGCCTGGAGTCCAGTGCAAGTCCAGGAGTAAATCAAAGACACAGGGGATACACTCAATTTCAAAATCAGGAACAACTGTATACTTTTCCGTGGTTGGAAGTCACACCTGCTGAATGCATGCCCAAAGCTCATGGTGTCAGGCCACATTGCGATGCTTCATCGACTTGGCCTTTTTGAGCAAGGTTTGAACATGGTTTCTGAGCATAAAAGTCTATCTCGTGTCTTCAGAGACACTGCTATTCTTATTGTAGGGCTGGCTGGGACTTCTTTTTTTTATTAAAAAAATTAAATTTTGAATAAACAAAAATTAAAATTAAAAGTTTTCATTTTCTATCCCAGTTATAACCCCCTCCCTCTTCCCGGTCCTACCCTGTTTCCCCTATTTTTCAGAGGAGGGGAGACCCCACCCACCCACCCCAAGCCTATCAAGTTGCATTAGGGCTGAGCACATCCTATTCTCCTGCGGCCTGGCGAGGTAGCACTGCTAGGGGAAAGTGATGAAAAAGCAGGCAGCAGAGTCCATGTCACAGTCAGCCCCCATTTTCCTTACTAGGGAACCTATAGGTGGACTGAGCTGCCCATCGGCTACATCTGTAAAGGGGGTCTAGGTTCAGTCCATGCATGGCCCTTGGTTGGTGCCTCAGTCTCCACAGGCCTCCATGGGCCCTGGTTATTGGCACTTTTGGTCTTCTTGTGGAGCTCCTGTCCCCTCTGGGTTCTTTTATTCCCCCCCCCCAACTCTTCTACAAGGCTCCCTGCACTCTACCCAATGGTTGGTTGTGGGTCTCTATATCTGTTTCTATCAGCTGCTGGGTGGAGCAGCACAGAGGACAGCTATATTAGGCTCCCGTCTCGAAGCACAGTAGAGTATTATTCATAGTGTCAGAGGCTGGCTGTCTCCCATGAGGTCTCAGGTTGGGCCAGTCATTGGTTGGAGATCCCCTCAACCTCTACCTTTATCCCTGCACATCTTGTAGGCAGGGTAAATTTGGGTTGAAGTTTTTCTGGGGGGTTGTTATTCCCCTCCCTCCACTAGGAGTCATGTCTAGTTAGAGGGTGGCCTCTTCAGTCTCCATGATCCCTGTTACTAGGAGTCTCAGCCAGTCGCTCTCATATTCTCTCAGGACCCTACCCTGTTGTGGGTCTCCACCTTGTCACAGAGAAGCCCAAGGTTTCTCTTCTCTCTGCAAGCCCTCTGTCTTCCCGCTCCACTCTCCCCAGGCCTGATATCACCCTCATTTCTTTCCATGCTCCCTCTCTTCACCTGTTCCCTCTCTTCAACCACTTTTACTATTTATTCTATTTCTACTTCTGAGTGGGAGTTAAGCTTCCTTCCTTGAACCCTTGTTACTTATCTTCTTTGGGTCTGTGAGTAGTAAAATGATTGCCCTGTACAATATGGCTAAATTCCACATATAAGTGCATACATACTATGTGTGTCTTTCTGGATCTGTGTTACCTTAGGATGATCTTTTCTAGTTCCATGCATTTGCCTGCAAATTTCATAATTTCCTTGTTTTTAATAGCTGATTAGTATTCTCTTGTGTAAATGTACCACAATTTCTTTATTCATTCTTCAGTGGAGGGGCATGTAGGTTGTTTCCAGATTCTGGCTATTATGAATAAAGCAGCTATGAACATAGTGGAACAAGTGTCCTTGTAGGGTAGAACATCTTTTGAGTATATGCCCAGGAGTGGTATAGCTGGGCCTTGAAGTGTTATTTCCAATTTTCTGAGATAGTGTTAGATTGATTTCCAGAGTGGTTGTACAAATTTGCACTTCCACCAACAATGGAGGAGGGTTCCTCTTTCTCCTCATCCTCCCCAGCATGTGCTGTCACTTTTTTTTTTAATCTTCAGCTCTGAATTTTAGAAGGAGGGAAACCGAGTCAACACCTCTGCATGACAAATTTCTAGAAGCAGAGAGTACTTTCTTGTAGATCAAATTATAGATTTTCTATAACATGCATTAGAAGTTCAGCTGTATAGTGTCTCAAACAGGTAGATCCTCAGGCTCATCCTGAAACATTCCCTGACTCTGCTCATTCTGGTCTTTTTGTTTTGTGTATCTATCTTTCTGTTCACTTGGCTATTCATCCATTATCCATCCATCCATCCACCTATCCATCCATCCACCTATCCATCCATCTACCCATCCATCCATCTATCCATCCATCCATCCATCCATCCATCCATCCATCCATCCATCTATCCAATTCTGCAAAGAAGTTGTGTCTATGCCTATGTAAGAGGACCTACTGGATTCTGTGAGCAATTCAGGCAGTGAACGGGCTCAGTTGAAGTTGGCCATGAAGGAAGTGATCCTCTCAGGTGGTAGATAAAGACAGCATTTCTATCTTTTCACGGCATCAGCATCTCAGAATCCTAGCGCTTGCTTGGAGATAACTGATCAGGAAGTCTGATACAGTAGAAAGAAGGCACATCTGGAAACCTGAAGATGAGTGAGAGGGTTCTGCAGCATCTGTGCTGTATGGCCTTGGGCAAGTTCTTTAACAGTCCCAGTTTGTCTGTAGGAAAGCAGGGCTTATCATAATTACAGCAGCAGCAGAACCTGATTGGGTTGTAAGGATTAATTGAACCCACTCACAGGGAAGGACTCTTAAAATCCCCAGTGTGACACAGACGTTCATTTCATTAATATTCAGTTATGGCCCTCTAAGAAAAGGGGGTCAGGGAGTTCAGTAGACCCTGAGGGGGCAGAGAAAACAGGGGACTAGTCTGTCACAGTGTCTTCCACACAGGGCCTAAGGAATAAAGATGAGGCCCCAAATCCAATTTACCCAGAGCTCTGTGGTGGAGACGCTCAGAGATAGGAAGACAAGGTTCCCCCACACGAAGCCTGGGCATCTCAAGATAAAGAAGGAACGCTGTGCCGGGAAAAGCTATGGCCTCAAGCGAAGAGGAGTGAATGCTTTATTTGCCCTTATTCGCTCGTGATTTTACAAAGCTGCAATTCTAACAACCGCAAACATCCCTAGAGTCAGGCAGCCTTTCTCATACTAATGAACACAACAACGCTTCTCCCAAGGAGGGGCCAGGGCTGGCCAGCTGCATGCCCTCCATCAGCCTCAGTGCGGCCCTGGGCAGTACAGGAAGTATTGGAGCAGGGTGCCTGGTTGTTTACAGCCCTGCGAGAGGTGTCAGGCGAATGAATGGATTTGAAATGAAGCAGCCATAGAGGGGCCCTCAGCAACCTGCCCAGAGGTCTGACAGCTAGCTCACCGAGGGTCGGGCACGAGCAAGGTCATCCCGTCCCTTTGGCAGGACTTCTCAGTCCAGGTTCATGCCAGGGCAGGTGATTGGGAACTGGCTGTAGCATGGTAGTAGGTGAGGCTGTCCTGGTTGCAGAACTTTAAGCTATAGGGCAGGAAAGGTGGTGAAAGGACTGGCTTTAAGGCAAGGGCTGGCAAAAGTGGGAGGGGCCAAGACAGGAAGGTCTCAAGTGTCACCGCTTAGTAACAGAAGATGGGCGGGGCTCTCTGACAGGATGTGCTATTCTTGATTCTCGGAGAGCTGGAAGCTGGGATAGGAAGGAAGGCTCAGGGAGGCTTCTCTGCTGACTTCACATCAGAGATCGGGGAGCCCTTCATGAGGAGTTAAGGACATCATCAGGAGCTGGTGTCCACCATTAGCACTTTGGTGATTGACACAAACCAAGCCTAGAAGAGAGGCAGTTACTTTGGGATGAAGAATGCTCTGGAAAGATGTCCTGGGCTGAGAGGTGCACTGGGATTTGAGCATCATCCTAGGTGCAGAGTGTCCAGCTTTTTAGCTTCTCTGGGCCACGCTGGATGAAGAATTGCCTAGAGCCACACATAAAAATCAAGGGGTGTACAATCCATGACCCACGGGCTACAAGAGCAAACATGTTTACTTTACATGACATTGGGACCATACACTGTTATCTATGATGTTCATGCCTTAGAATCGTGCTATCAAGTTACACAATAGTTGTGAACCAATCTTACAATAGTGTTTTAAGTAAGCTTACAATTTCATGTTAGGCTGCATTTGTAGCTATCCTGGTCTCCATGTAGCCTGAGGGGTTGGGACTAGACACCCTTGTGATGTAGGTAATGACTGGATGGACATTTGGAGGGGTCATGGGTTAGCCCATGCTTTGTAACATTTCTGCTAGGTGTGTGTGTGTCTTGTGTCTGTATGGCCACAAGGATATCCCCCCCCTTAATCAGAGTTGTGACTAAAATTTCCATCCCCTCAGGCTAAGCTGCTAGAGATTCTGGAGGGAGGGGCCAGTGGGGGATGATGGACAGACGTAACATTTACAGAGTCCTTACTATGTGCCCAGGTGCTTTCTCCGCTCTTTCCTGGCATTGCTTTGTTTATCCTCCTGCTTACCCTCACCATGAGTTACAGATACACACGGGCCCGTAACAGCAGAAACCCAAATGAGAACGCATGAGAGCACAGTTGCACATCTGTACACAGAATCACAGCTGGCTCGATGCAGGCCCCTACACATGCAGATATTCTCGAACACGGATTTATCAAAACATCAAAATCGATGCACAGATGTGTAGTGCACCTCAGGTGTTGGGTGAGAATGGGCTTAGGGAAAGGTACAAAAGGCCCACAAAGGCTGACGAGACAGCACAGTCCATAAATTGCTTCCCTTGCAAGCTTGAGGACCTGGATTTGAACCACCAGCATTTAAACGAAAAAGCTGGGCACTGTTAGGCAGAGCTGTAATCCCCGTCCTGGGAAGGTAGAGACAGGAGGATCCTTGGGGCTTACCAGCCAGCCAACACAGTCTACCTGGTGGGCCTCTGGCCAGCGAGAGACCTTATCTTAAGAAAATGAAGAGGGGCAGCACCTGAGGAATGACACAGGAGATTTGTCTCTGCCCTCTCCATACATGTGCAGAATTGTGACAACAACAATGTGGCCATTCCCACAGGCTTCGTGGGCCTGGCCACCCACTCTTCTGAAGATAATGGAGAGTCTTTCAGAAGGTGGAGTAGCTTTCTCGGGAACCCATCAGCCTCCGCGAATACTCAGAAAGAAAGCTTTGGAGTCTGTTGAAGAGGGGCTTCCCATGTGATCTGAGCTGAGCTGGCCACAGCCTGATCCAGTCAGCTCTAGGCAACTTCCTGGAGTCGGTCAGCTGGATATGGGAAGTCAGCCCCGGAAGTAGGTCTCGGCCCATGAGCAGATGCTGAGGTATACAGTGTTCATGCTCAGCCAGCATCAGGAACCTCTCTCTTTCTCCTTAGGGCCTGTACCCACAAAGGTCAACCAGGATGCCCTACCAGCAGGCCGTGCACCCCCCACTGGGGTGCTACTCCAGACAGGTGAGTAGGTGCCTTCCGCTCCTATGCCCTGGCTCCATGGAGGTCTTCAGGTCAGAAAGATAGCTGTTCTTCATCCTCGCCCAGCACTCACTACCACTACTTTCTGGCCCATCACCTTCTTAAGGGGACACACACAGATACCGAGCTGCTGAATCACAGCCCAGTGTCGCCACACGGTAACACCAGATATCACTTAACAGAGTCCTTACCTTACGACAATGCCAGGCCCTTCCCAAAGGCTTCTCCTCTACTAATTGAACCTTCTCAACCACCTTATAGTGTATGCTCTTGATGGGGAAACTGAGGCACAAAGAGATTATACCGTAACACTTGCATATAAGCCTGGATCTGCTGTGACAAGTAGCTTCAACAACTCGGGGACCTTCAAAAAGTCTTCAGTTCTTGCTCCTGAGTCTCTGGGTTGGCTGAACTGGCATGTGGATCAGGGTCAGGTCTAGCCTCCTTTCTCTTGGGGGTCTGACCTGAAGATGCAGGAGCCATTGTTCCTCTCTCAATGAGTGACAGGAGCACATAAAGATAAGGGGAAACTTACAGTCCTTCCAGAAGCCTCTGCTCTGTACATGGTGATAGCTACACACTTTCAGCTGGCCAAAGCTAACCCCACAGCTCTGCCCAGCATGTGTGGGCCAGAGAATCATCTTCATGCTATGTAGTTCCCATAAAAGACACTCTAACTTGAATTTCAAATAAATAGTGAATACATTTTTTAAAAAAATAAAAAGTAAATCCTAAATATTGTACAAGAACTATTCATGTTAAAAATACGTTCACAGTTAATTTCCAGTTTGATCCAACTGGTGTCCTGCAGTTTTATTTGTTTGCTGAATGTATGAGTTACATAAGTACTTCTGGTGCAAAGGCCTCTTGGATATTAATTCAGAGGACAAATGGAGGCCTGGTCCCAGCAGCCAGATACTCTTGGCCAACATGATGGACACCTCTCATAGATAAATGCACAAAAGCACAACGTCAGAATAGTAGGGCACAGATAAGAACACACCTACATGGAGAGAAACAGATGGTGGGCTGGGAAGATGCCTCACTGGATAAAAGGGCTTGCCTTCAAAGCCTGGGGAATGGAGTTCAGACTCCTAGAACCCATGGAAATCCAGATGCAGCAGCGTGAGTCTGTGATCCCAGTGTGCCTAGGACAAGATGGGAGACGGAGACAAGCCAAAATGTGAGCACTGGCACCTAGGGTTGTCCTCTGACCTCCACGTATGCACAGTGGTGCAAGTACCTACACACACACACACACACACACACACACACACACACACACACACACACCCCACATGAGAAATACATGTAGCTATCTCCCATGTTCCCAAGCTGCTTGAGTCGGCCTATATGCTCACACGTACTCATTGACCGACATGGAAGCAGGCTCCGGGTACTGCGACTTGGGGCAGACATAGGATATGAGGAAAGTAAGTTAGACTGGGGACATAGAGGGGGCTGAAGACAAGTGTGCCACATTCCCCAACGAACTTAAACCTCACACACAGGTGCACGGGGAATCCATTCCTTGAGTTCCAGTTTCTTCTACTTTTCTCCTTCCCGGGAAGTCCCAGCCTTTCTCTGAAAACCTCCTCTCTGGGCTGGCACATGCTAGCATGTTCTGGAGGGTAGTGATGGCCCCATAGGCGAAAACTACCTTGGTCAGGACCTGCACCATCGGGAATAAGAGCCTCCTTCATCCTACCTGGGATAAGAGTCTGCCTCAGAAATCCCAGTCATATTACCTCTCTCCACCTACAAACAGTAACACCTCCTCCAGGCCCAGTCTTTTTTTAGGCAATTATGAGTGTGTATATATTTGAACAATGTAGTATAAAACATGGTGAAGACAGAGGCCAGCACTGTTTATTGGTTTCTTTCACATCCTGCTAGGGACATCTATTTATATAAGATTTTCAGAACAAGGGTATCTATCATTCTTAGCACACTGTTCTGTGCTTTTGTAAAAGATAAGAGTATATTTGAAGGTGGTTTCCAGAGCAGGGAACAATGTTGCATGCGATGGCTTTGATCAGCCCCATGGAATCATGGGCGTATCCCTGGACAAGGCTGGTGTGAGCTCTGGGACTCACCAGTTACTAGTCCCATTGTGGGAGACCAGGAATATTTCCCAGTCCAGTATGGCCCCCACAGAGTCTGCCCTGTGAGGTGTCCTCTCCTGTCCCCTCCATGAGCCCCTGGGTCACTTGGCCATTCAGGTTTTTCACACACAAATCCAGTGTCACTGGGCCTTGCGACCTCTCTTTGAGCATCATGGCGAAGATTGGAGGGATGAGCTCAGCTTCCAGAGAGGGCACACAGAGCAAGGCTGGAACCACACCCACACTCTGGGCTCTCCCTGGGGGTTCTGGCTGCAAATCAGGACTGGAAAGACTGGAGATGCTTGCTAAGCTGTATTTTACTTTGCTGAGCCTTAGTTTCTTTGTCTCTCAAATGGGAGTAATCATTGTGACGGTGAAAGAACAGACAAAAGCAACTTAAGGAAGTTTTAGCCTTGTTGTTCTTTGGTTCTCTCACCTACCTTGAGAGTACAGCCCACCACGGTGAGTGAGGCCCTCTGGTCACATTGTGTCCACAGTTAGGAAGCTAAGAGAGACAAAGGCTGGTGTTCAAGCGGTTTTCTTCTTCTTTTTTTTTTTTTTTCCTTTTTATTTGGCCTGAAAACCCCAAGCCAAGCTGGGTGCGGTAGCACACTGCTGTAATTCCAGCACGCAGGGAGGCAGAAGCAAGTGGTTATCTGAGAGTTCAAGGCCAGCCTGGTCTACAAAGCAAGTCTAGGACAGCCAAGGCTGCACAGAGAAAACATGTCTCGAAAAACAAAAACCAAGCAACCGACCAACCAACCCAAGCTGCCCACATTTAGCATGGGTGTGCCATCCTGTTACCCTTCTCTGGAAGCGCCCTGCCAGCACACCCTAACTGCAATGACACAGACAATCAGGATAAGACCACAGGGTCTTGTCTCTCAGGGTACAGAGGTGTAGTGACAGAGGCCAGCTGAAGGGTCTCCTGCAGCTCTGAGGGATTCTAGTCCAAGTCGGTTTACAGCAGACATGGACATGTTAGGGAGAAAGGGAGCTTTTGAGAACTGCAGGCTTCTATGGCTAGAGCGGAAATCCAGAAACTTTCCAACAGAGACGCCCCTCAGTGCCCAGAAGAACCCATGTGAGGAAAGGCCTTCCGGTGCCTGAGCTGTCAGTGGGACCCGTTGCTCCCATCATGCCAGTGGATGCTTAGAGCTCCTCATTCCTGGCCGGTCCGTGACCCCCCTTACTGCATCTTCTCCGCTGTGTGGGAGCTGCAGCAGTAACAACCAATGAGATGTATAGTACCCTTGCTTGTTGGGCATAAGAAAGGATGAGCCCCAGTTTTTGGTGGGCGTCTGCCCAGGTCTTGGTCATGATCCTTTTGGGGGAAGGGTGTGTTCCAAAGACCCTTCCACAGGGGTCACCTAAGACCCTGGGAAACCGCAAATGTTTACATCGCGATTCGTAACCGTAGCAAGCTTACAGTTATGACGTAGCAACAAAAATAATTCTATCGTTGGGGGAACTTTAAAGGGCCGCAGCATTAAGGGAGGCTGACAGCCGCCTCTCCAGCTGGATTTCAGGGGGCTGATAACCGCCGCTGGTGGTGATGCCGTAGTCCCCCAGCACAGATCTGTTCTTCCTGGGGGGGGGGGGTTACTGTGGGTGGGGCTGTCTAGTGCTCACAGTCTGGTCAAGGTCCTAATGCGGAAGCAGTAACCTTGAATCACAGCAGGTGGGTTCTCTTTCACGGCTAAAACTGAACAAGGAGCTTCGCAGGGAGCTGATTCAAGACAGAAGGGAGACAGGGAGACAGGAGAGAGTGTGGAAATGATGGCCAGTTGCTCTGAACCACGACACGCCTCCTCCTCTATTTCTCTCAACCGACCCTCTCCACACAGAGTAGACAGTGTTTGTACAGTTTATAGAGCAGGAGTTTGAGGCTCAGATTCCTAACCCAAGTCAAGGGACGCACAGATTGGTAAGAGAGTAGACGGGATGAGGGTCAGGGCTTGAACTTGCCCCTCTCTTCTCTCTACCCTACAGGTGACACCGTACAATCCACAGCAGATGGGCCAGCAAATCTTCCGCTCTTCCTACACCCCCCTGATGAGCTACATCCCCTTCGTCCAGCCCAACTACCCCTATCCTCAGAGGACACCCCAGAAGCTGTCGGCCAATCCCCGAGACCCTCCCCCGATGGCAGGAGACGGGCCTCCATACCTCTTCCCCCAGGGATATGGGTAAGTCCTCCTCTGTGGTGGCAGAGGGGAGCTGACCTGCATCTAGATGGCTGTCACAGACGGCAGGTGAATGGGGCGGGCTTTAGAGAGCCCTTCTTGGTGTCTGTCCCCCTGTGGGAGGTGGTGGAACATATCTTTGTACCCCTGCCCAACGTCTCTGCGGACTTGGAGGGAACAGAAGTGGAGATGAGTCTGGGCTGGGGTCTAAGAGGAGCCTTTTGAAGGTCCTTAGCTGGCTGCCACCTATAGGCTGGTTGTAGAACTGCAGCTGCCCAAACGGAATCTAGAGCAAGTAACTTGCCTCAGGATGCCCTGTCGTGATCGTGATCATTTAATGATTTGCAAAGGATATGGTTAGCTAATCTATATATGGCTCCTATCCCCTTCCTGGATGCATCTAGAGTCCCTTCCAGGCTAATCTCTCAAGCATCCCCTCCGGTCTTCCTGACAAGTCTCCATGAAGGGTCTTCCACAGCTTTATCCACTGAAACCTCCCGAACAGTTGCAAAGTCCGGAATTTCCTGGGCCTGTGTGTGGGCTCAGCTGCAAACTCCTAACACAAACCGGCCAGTTAAGATTCCTCTTGGATTTTGCGTGGTGTGGACTAACAAAGTTGTGGAGGTTGTTTGTTTTAAACTTAACAAGTAGCCACTCACTCCAACAAGACAAACCTTCAGCTAACACTGGTGACCCAAGGCAGGGGGCATCACGCTACTCCTGTGGACCTCAGACTCCTAGGCAGATCATGCGGTGTGTGTACCCCATTTGGAGAAGCTCAGGTCCTAGGTTAAGAACTGGCTCTCAAGGGGGATACCGAAACCTGCCCTCTCAATCTCTCACTGTGCCCAGCAGACACCCTCCCCCCTCCCCGACCCACTGCATGACCCCAGACTCTCACCCTTTGAATCCTCCATCTCCCCTAGTATCTCGTGAAAAGGGATCAATGTTTCAAAGAGGTTTTGATAGTCAGAGCTATTTAGGGAAAACTGTGAGAAACAAAAGCCAAGCAGATTTCCTGACGGCTGGAACGCTCTGATCATTTAATTGCCTGGGGTACTCAAAGAATGTGGTCGATGGTGGTACTTCACTACTCTACCCTGTGATTTCTTTCCACGTTTTCCTGCCCCCGCCCCCACCCCCAGCAGTTCATGTTGAACCTCCCCCCGACCATCATCACACACACTAGAACATGCTGTGTTAGTCCACAGAGTTAATGTAAAGCTACCATGATAATAAGGCATACCTCTTCCCTTCAAAAAGCAGAGGGCTAGGGGCTAGAGACATGGCTCAGCCATTAGGACCACTTATCTTGCAGAGGACCCAGGTTCAGTTCCCAGCACTCACTAGAGAGCAGTTCACAAACATCTGTAACTATAGTTCCAGGAGATCCAATACCCTTTTCTAGCCTCTGCAGGCAACCCATACACACATTTTTGTTTGTTTGTTTGTTTGTTTGGATGGTTTGGTTTTCTGAGACAGGGTTTCTCTGTGTAACTTTGGCTATCCTCACTTTGTAGACCAGGCTGGCCTCGAACTTACAGAGATCCTCCCGCCTCTGCCTCCCTACATGCTGGGATTACAGGCATGAGCACACATGACATATCTAAACTCAGGCAGACACACATACATACACATAAAAGAAAAAAAAATGAGGGCTTACAGGACTGATGCCATATTCTCTGGCCCCAAGGCCTGAGGCAGGGCCTCAGACAGCTGGTGTGTGTTGCGGGGTGTGGCGGTTCAAGTGAGTGGCTAGAGGAGGCAGTCTGGATAGGGGACTCAGGCCCTGCTGTGGGAGGGGGCAAGGCAATAACTTAAATGCTCCCCTTGAGTTCTTGATTTGGAGGTGCTGTGAATTGAACCGAGGTCCCCACTCATGTTAGGCAATGTGAGCCAAGTGACTTTCTGCTGATCACCCCTCCAAACCCCCGCTCTAGCCCAGAAGGTACAAGGCAAGCTAGAGGCCTGGGGACAGAGATGTGCATGGTTTGAAGTATTAGATTTATCCCTGGAAAAGGTGGAAAACAGGATTGGAAAGGGAGGTTGGGATTGGATTATTAAAGGCTATTTTGGATGGTAGGGCCAGGGTATCTAATAAAGAGCTGTGCACATCAGAGCAAATACATAGGCCGAGGGGAGAGAACAGAAGGCAAGGTGTAGTCTGGGGGCCTCAACAAGAGGTAATCTATTGCCTTCCTGGAGGGGAGAGTGAATGAGGCTGCCAGGAGACACAGAGAACCACCCCTCAGCTGGCAGTCACCCCTGCCCTGCCAGCATCACCACCTACGATTCTTGAAGGGACAAACCGGAAAGCCGGCTCTCCAGGGAGCAACGGGAGTTGTAAGCCTGAAGGCTGGAAGCCTGGTCTCTGTGTGTCTGTGGGGAGATGGCAGGGGGCAGGGGAAAGAAAGGACAGGAAGGAGCATCCCAAAAAGTAGGCACATGACTGAGAAGAGTAGGAGTCACTGGAAACAAAGAAAGAGATGAGTAAGGGAAGGTGGTTAATGAAAGGTAATGGCACCCCGAGAAGCTGGAGAAACCAGGAGGATGGGACCAGAAACAGGTGCCGGCTCACATCCCTAGAGAGGATGATTTGTTCATAAAAAATAAAAAAAGCTGAAAGATGGCTTGCTCTGCAAGCATGCAAACCTGACACTAATTCTCAGAATTTGCACAGAAAACAGGGCAGCACTTGTAACACCGGTGCTGCAGAGGCAGAAACAGGTGGGTTTCTGAAGCCTGCTTAGCTGGCTTCATCTAATTGGTGATCTCCAGTCCCAGTAAGAGAATCTCGAAGAACAAGGTGGATGGCTCCCGAAGAAAGACTCCCAAAGTTAACTTCTAGGCTCCATATACTTGAATACAAGTATGTGCGTGCATCTGTGCACACAGAGGTTCACACACACACACACACACAAACATACAAATACATACATACAAATCTGATTGATCTCTGGGATTAACCATACCTGAAATCCCAACACTTGGGGAATGAATTAGGGAGATCTTGAGTTCGAGGCCAGCCTGGGCTACATGGTGAGATGCTGTCTCAAACAAAACAAAATACACTGAGTCGAACAATTTCTGTGCCTCACACTGTCTGTGGTATTGTGAAGTGGAGTGAACAAGACACACAAAATGTTTTTGTTTTTTTTTTTTCTCTCACATACTTCACAGTTGGGGCTGGGGCACAGCCATAAGATGAAAACATGTCAGCAGAGGCAAGACCCAAAGGAGGAGGTGGCTCCTCCTCCTCCTCCTTTTTCTTTAAACAGGGTCTCAGTGTGCTACCTAGAGCTGGCCTTGAGTTCACAGCTTTCCTGCCGTCTTAGCATTCTGTGTGCCAGGAGTAATGGCATGAACCACTGGACCTGCCAAGGAGGCTCTCTGAACCACCACGCATGCACAGAGAGACACGCACTCCACCAGGATGAGACATGCAAAGGCCCCTGTGTGGCTGGAGGACAAGGGGATGTTGAGAGAGTGGGTGGAACAGAATTCAGAGATGCAGCCATGGCTGAGCAGGTTGGGAACAGTCAACCTGGTCAGAATTTTAAGAGCAGCACGGTGTCGTGGAGACCTTTGAACTGGGGAACGGCATGCTCTCATTTCCTGTACAGAGCAGATCATGTTGGCCGAGGTGTGGAGAATGGGCAGTGGGAGGGAGGGCCGGTGCAGGGCTCAGGGCTGGGGTCTTCAGTGCGGCCCATGAGATAGATAGACGCTGATGGTGTAGAGAAGGGTGGTTCCTGTGAGGAAACAGACATGTGAACGGACCTAGGGTGCTCGTTTTCTTGGCAGAATCGGTTGGACTTGATCATGGTTGCGTATGGCAGGAACGAGGGGGGACAGGCTCTCTCGGGTGGTGGGGTGGGCAGTGGGGGGTGGGCAGTGGGGGGTGGGAGCACAAGGCTTAGGCTTCTGATCTGTGCACTGGGCGAGTGACAGTGGCCAGTGCTTAGGTTGCCATGACTAGAGCAAGGATGTTCATCCATGGTTCATCAGCCTTGGGCACTGAACTTGTTAACTTGTTAGTCTCAGTACTCTCTCTCTCACACTGATAAAACATCATGGCTAGAAGCAAGGTACAGAAGGAAGAGATTATTTAGGCTTTTGGTTCCAGAGGAATTACTGGTCCATCTGGGAGGGGAGGCATGGCGACAAACCTCAGGCATAGAGGCAGGGACAGGAAGTTGAGAGCTCACATTCTGAACCACAGCATGAACCCGAAAGAGGAAACAAGACCTCAAGGGAGGCCCGGCCCTCCCAAAGCCTGCCTCTTAGTTACATAGCTCCTTCCTTTAGGAGATAGCACCTTCTAAACTTCCCCAAACAGTGCCACACACTGGAGGCTGGGGGTTCAAATGCCTCAGACTATGGGAGGGGAATTTCTCATTCAAATCATCACAGACAGACAAGTGGAACTATTGGTAGTTAGGTGGATACAGGATCATGGAGCTTGGGGACAAGGTTGGGGCTGGTGACCGATTTGGGGGTCATTAGAATATAGATGATAGATGAAGTCACAGGACAGGATGAATCCCTAGGGAGTGTGCATGCATAGAGGAGACCCCAAGGATCTAGCCTGGGGGCCTCCAGCAGGTGGAGGGACTGGGAGGGGAAAAGGGGCCAGGAAAAGATCTAGGAAGCAGCTTTTAGTGAGGTGTGTGTGTGTGTGTGTGTGTGTGTGTGTGTGTGTGTGTGTATGTGTGTGTGTGTGTGTATGAGCTATGGGAGAGTCAGAAAAAAAAATGGAAACCACGTGTAGGAAATGATTCTGCAAGGGAGCACATGGGAAAACAGAGTGGGGAAATGAGAGCCAGGTACTATGGCAGCCAACATGGGGAATTCTGGGTAATACGGTTGCTGTGAAACTCATGTGACCGAGGATTAGACAAGACCTGGTGAGGCTGGATCAGGCAAGGGAAGAAGCATGCATGGACTTAGGCGGACAGTTTGGTCTGGAAGACAGGCAGGGTCATCAGAAGCAGAGGAAGCAAGAGATGAGAGGGGGTGGAGTGAGAGAGGAAGGAGCAAGGGCCTCTCGGCCTCAGAAGAGGAGGAGAGAGAGCCCCGAAGTCCCTCTGCTAAGTCGACCTGCGTTCCCCATTAGGGATGACGATACGACACAACTTATCCTCCGGGCAGTAAACTAATGAGCGTGAGTGTTTATTGGGGCATGAGTAATCCTTGCTCTGGAAACAGTATTGTGTCAGCCGTCTCAGGTGAGTCAGGGTGTACACTCATCATACTCTAACAAGACAGCACTCTTGACTCGTGGGTCACAATCCCTCTGAGGGTCAAACTACCCTTCCACAGGGGTCGCTTAAGACCATCAGAAAACACAGATATTTGCACTACGATTCATAACAGCAGCAAAATTGCATTTATGAAGTAACAACAAAAATAATTTTGTGTTTCGGGTCACCACCACTCGAGGGACTGTATTACAGGGTATCAGCATTAGGAAGGTTGAGAGCCACTGCTGGGAGCTGACATATCCCTTCCTCCCTCCTCCCCCCTCTCTCCCCTCTTCCTCAGGAAGCATTCCTTGGTAGCTCTAGTCCATATACACTGCTTCTTCTCCAAGCCCTGTGTTCATGCTCTCTAGACCATAGACTTAGCAGTTGACCTGATTATAGGTGATCAACCCAGAGAAGCAAGGGACATAAGGTGCAGTGATCAGATATGAGAGAAAAACTGGTTACTTTGCTACTGATAATCATTACTGTTTCAGCTTTTATTTTATAAATCAGACCAAATATCCATGGTATCTTATAATGACTGCTTTTCTTCCAGCACTGGGGATGAAACCCAGGGCCTTCCACGTGGCAGGCAAACGCTCTACCACTGAGGCACGCCTCAGCCCCTGTCGTATGAGACACGATCTGGTGAGACTGGACTGGCTTCAAATTTGTGATCTCCCTATATCCTCCTCCCAAGTGCTAGGATAACAGGCACATACCATGCTACCATCACTTTCAGTCACTTATAATTCATCTTTTTTTTCATGCTTTTTTTTTAATGCTTATACGTGTTTGCTTGCACGTATTTCTTACGCCACATCTGTGCAGTGCCCAAGGAGGTCAGAAGAGGGTATCAGATCCCCTGGAACCAGAGTTAGAGATGGCTGTGAGCCACCATGTGGGTGTGGGGAATTGAACCTGGGTCCTCTAAGAAGAGCAGCTGAAGCTCTTAACCACTGAGCCATCTCTCCAGCCCCTCCAGCATGGTTGTTAAAAGGGGAGCAGAGGTGTGGTTTCCACAGATAATTTGCCTGTTAGGGATGTACTGGCGGGCCCTGGGTTGGGGGCTCAGCAGCCAGGCATTGTCTCTGCTGTCCTGGAGCTTATTTTAGTGTAAGGGAAATGAAATATTACCCAAATCTTGGCCGGTCCATGAGCTATCCTAACTAAAAAGCACAGATGTTATGAGCAGCTGAGACCATTAGCACACTCACAGTCTTCTGCTTCCGACTCTCCGCCCCTCCCCAGCCCTCCCACTTTGTTGTTTTTTTTTTTCATTTATAGGAGGGTGACTTGAAGGTGACTCTCTTTTGTAATATGCATGCGCCCAGGGGAAAAGTGGCTGAGAATCCCAGGATTAGACTAAATCTAGCCGTTTGCTCCGCGGCAATTTGTATTAAGCTCTAGTTCCATTGGAAGTGTGATAGGAGACGGGTGAAGAAATTGCAGTCAGGTCCCAGAGGTCTGTGTTAGCTGTTTGAAGAGGTCAGGGGAAGCCTTGTGGAGGAGATGGCCTTTGAACTCTGTTCTGAAGTGTGCATACAAGTGTGCTAGTAGAAGAAATCAGAGAAGCGTGTGGGTTTCTGCTCTTGGAAACAGAGTCACACAACATGCCAGGCACTCACACAGTGGGGTGGAAAGGTCGCTGTTCTCAGGAGTGTTGCGATAAAAGGACAGATCTAGTGAGGCTGAGCCTGGAGGCTAGCTGAGAGGGGAAGTCGAACTGGGGTGTTGCCTGAACGCAGATCAGCTGCAAGGACAGGCCCTGTTTTCTCCAAAGTTCTGGGCTTCCCTGACGAATTTGCTCCTCTAAGACAGATAGGTGTTCAGTTCCAAACACTGCTTTCTTTGTGGCCCTTCCTGGAGACAGCATGTACTCAGACATTATCCTTACGTGCACCCCACAGCACCCTAGCAGGAAACTCAACTCTTCTTCGTCCTTCAACAGCGCCATTTTGTGTTTAACTTGCCCAGAGCCAGAGACTCTGTAGGATGCTAAAGCTTTCAACCTCCGAACCCATTCCAGATTCCTAACCTTTTGACGGCCACAACACCAACAGATTATTTTTTTCCCAGTCTCTCCGGGAAACACCAGACTTCATCACAGTACCCACCGCCCCTCTCTTCCAGGTTCAACTCGGCGCCCAGCGGACCCGTGATGAACAGCCCTTATTTTTCCTCCAGTGGGAATGGCATCCGCTTTTAGACTTCTCTCTCTCCCCACCTCCTCTCTTTGCCCTTGGATCAGGGCTAAAGGTTCTGGAATTCTGGATTCTGCAACAACTTGGTGTGAAGTTTGGAAAGCCAAGGTTCCAACCAGGTGGCCGACAGAAAACAGCAAGACCAGATTCATCTACTGACCAACGCTCACCTCATAGCCCCCCTCACACACAGAGCACACCACAGACGCACCCCCCATTCGTAAGACCACACAGGCACCTGTATTTAGCTAACATGACTGGTTTTTGTTTTTGTTGTTGTTGGTAAGATAGAAAGTAAGACACTTAATTTAGAACGTTTATATTTTATGATAAAACTATGAGCTGCTTGAACATGCATGTGCCTGTTCATTTATTTTGCTGTGGTTTCTCTAAATGGGTCTCAGTGTTCCTTCAGACACCGTTTGGGGTCCAGGGAGTGTTGCTATCTACGTGAGGAACCTCAGGGGTCAAAAGCTTGTGCACTTGACTCTTTTCTCCCGTGAGCCACTTATTCCCCAACATCCCAGATTCTGCATTCCTAGCATGAGCATTACACAAAAAACACTCTCACCTGTAGTCTGTCCCAGGTAGAAGTTTTATAGAAAGTCGTTTTGCAGAAAGTCTCACTTGGGCACAGTAATGGCATAGGACACAATTTCAAAACAAATCTTAAGGGCTGTTAAGATGGCTCAGCTTGGCAAGGCCCTTGCTTTCAAGCCTGATGACCTAAGTTATATCCCTGGGCACCAGTTAGAAGGAGAGACAACGGATTCCTAGTTGTTTTCTGATCTACACACACACACACACACACACACACACACACACACACACACAAATGGAACCAAAATCAATCTAAAATGTGACAAACTATTCAGTGATGCTACACTGGTGCCAACCTCGAGGTCAGTTTCAACTCTGCATCTAGCGACACCATTTTTGACTCTGTCTTGTCCAATTCTGACCAATGACTTAAATGGCAATGCTGAGAGACACCTGGTAACATTCATGGAAGATACACTATGGAAACAGGAGGCAGTGTGAATTGGTTCTCTGGGTGATCTATGGGAAGGCATCACTAATCAACTGTAGGATTTTATTCTCTTGAGGCTGGCCAGAGCTGAAGAATCATTTTCCTGATGGTGCTGCAAGCAGCTATTATCAATCAGAGTTGGTATGTGAAGTGAAATCCCCCATGTGCCGTCTTTTTAAATGCATGTTATCAAGATGAAGTTAAACAGGGGTTGTTAATGTCAGGATGCACTTGTTGGTCCATGCACACAAATGGTCCACCACTCTTGCCTCTGTAACACGCTTATCAATGGTGCTGGGTACCTGGAGGCTGAACTGTACAGTCAGAGGTGGATCTGAAGAACATTAGACACTATACTCTGGCCCCACAAGCAATGGCACACAGAAGGCCTTGGGGTGGGCTTAAGCCACAAAAGTATTTCTCTTGACCTCATAGTATGATGTCACTAGACTCACTGACCTTTCTTTTGGAATCTGGGAAAGTAATTTCTCCCCCTCGGTTTCCCTGAAGACTAAATACCTCATCTTTCTCTGTGGTCTAAATTTTGAGCTTCCTGTTACTTTTTTGGACCTCCACGTCTCTGTTTCTTCTTGATATGCTTGGGTAATAGGTTGCCCTATGTTAATTATCTTCCTGGTTTGAAAATGACCAAAGCAACCTCAGGAAGGAGCGGTTTATTTCCACTCATCGTTCAAGAAGCGGTTCATCATGCTGGGGAAGGCCTGGCTGCAGGAGCATGAGGCTGCTGGTTCAACTGCATCTGCAGCCTGGAAGCTGAGTGTGATGGATGCTGGTCCTCAGCCAGGCCTCTCCCTTGCATGCAGTCTGCAAACCTGGCCCATGAAACGTTGGTCCCCTCTCCAGTGTCCTCAATCTAGAAAATTCAAGACATACCCAGAGGGCTATTTCCAAAGCAAGTTTAGAGCCTGTCAGGTTGACGATGTAAACTATCACAGCCCAATATGACTATAGTTTACCACTTTCCCTTAATCTCAGCATATTGAGAGGCAGAGGCAGAGGCAGAGGCAGAGGCAGAGGCAGAGGCAGAGGCAGAGACAGAGACAGAGACAGAGACAGAGACAGAGAGAATGAACCACTGATTAGATCTGGTGTCTTAGAAACTTCCCAACTTTGACACAGGCAGAGAACATATCCGTTCTGGACCTCAGTTCTGTTAATGAAAGTGGCCTGAGTTTTGAAGATTAAAAGATGATGTAGACTCAAGACAGACTTAATGTCTACTCAGTATACACTATGGTTTAAGATGGGGTAGTAAATATATTTCTGACTACTCCTGAAACTTTCTCCCAGATAACAAAACAACAACAGAATTTTTTTAGTTAAGAAAAATAGGGGACATTATAACCCTATTGTCTAAGTTTCATTTCTGATGCTGAGATAAAATATCCTGACCAGGGGGCTAGAAAGATGACTCAGCTGTTAAGAGCACTGTCTCCTCTTCCAGAGGTTCTGAGTTCAATTCCCAGCAACCACATGGTGGCTCACAACCATCTGTAATGGTATCTTTTCTGGAGTGCAGGAGTACATGCAGATAGAACACATATATACACAAGTAACTAAGTAAATAAATAAATAAATCTTAAAAAAAAAATACCCTGACTAAAAGCAACATAGGGAAATACCCTAAAAAGCAAAAGCAGCATAGGGAAGGCAGAATTTTTCTTTCTTTCTAATTCCAGGTTATGGTCCAGCATTGTAGGGCAGTCAAGGCAAGAAGTTAAAGACTCATATCCACAGTCAAGATCAAAGAGAAATGAATACATCCTTGTTGCCTGCTTGCTTCTAGGTTTCCTCACTGTTATAGAGTTAGAGCCCCCTTTCTGTGGAGAATGGTACTGCTCATGATGGGCTTGGTCTTTTCACCTCAACAACCCAGAACATCCCCCACCCCAGACCCACAGTTAAAACTAACCAGCACACTCATCCTATATGTAAGGCAGAAGAGTGATGGGGGAACGGTAAGTGCCTTGAAGGATGGATCATGCAGGATTGTCAAAGGGGCTACGACAAGCAGCAAGCCACACTTCCTCACAGAGAGCCAAAGTGCACAGAGCTTGGGGTCCCACATGCTGAGCACTGCTCAAGGCTGATGAAAGCAAGGGGTTGATACTGTAAGCAGCTGCCACCCTGGCCTCACAAACCCCAAGTCAGTTCCATGGAAGACACGAGACATCGTCTCTGAGGAGATTTAGTGGCAGTATGTCAAGGTTGTGGCATTGAGGGCCAAGAGGAAAAACTGGGAGAGAAATACACATACATACTTTGAGGGCAGCAGCTAGGCTTTGATGGAGAAGCCCATCAAAGGTTTAGAAGGTCTAAAGAGGTATTTGCAAATTAGCCCACAATAAATGTCCTTTGGTAAATAGTTCCTAATCACAGAAGGAACTGATGGTTATTAGAAATAGATATTTCCCAATAAAAAACTCAAGATGAAGGTTTTAAATAATGAACTAAGGAATAAAGGGCATCATTTTTTTTTTAACTTGGGGACCCACATGGAGACTGAGCTGCCTATTGGCTACATCTTGAAGGGAATCTATGTCCTCTTCCATGCATGATCCTTGGTTGGTACATCAGAGCAATAAGACAATTAAGGGAGATCAAGGGGATCCAAATCAGAAAAGATGTCAAAGTATCACTATTTGCAGATGATACAGTATACGTGAGGGACCACAAAAATTCTACCAGGGAACTCCTACAGCTGATAAACACCTTCAGCAAAGTGGCTGGATACAAAATTAACTCAAAAAGAAAATCAGTAGCCCTCCTGTGTACAAAAGACAAATGAGCTGAGAAAGAAATTAGGGAAACAAACAACCTTCACATTAGCCACAAAAGACATAAAGTACATTGGTGTAACTCTAACCAAGCAAGTCAAAGACTTGTATGAAAAAAACTTCAAGTCTCTGAAGAAAGAAATAGAAGAAGATATCAGAAGATGGAAAGATCTCCCATGCTCATAGTGCGGCAGGATTAACAGTAAAAATGGCCATTTTACCAAAAGCAATCTACAGATTCAATGCAATTCCCATAACATTACCAACACAATTCTTTACAGACCTTGAACAATTCTCAACAAGAAACCCAGAATAGCTAAAGCAATCCTCGACAATAAAAGTATCTCCATCCCTGATCTCAAGCTGTACTATAGAGCAACAGTAATAAAAACTGCATAGTACTGGCATAAAAGCAGACTAGTGGATCAATGAAATTTAATTGAAGACTCAGAAATAAACCCATACACCAATGGACACCTGATTTTTGACAAAGATGCCAAAACCATGCAATGGAAAAAAGCATCTTCAACACATGGTGCTGGTCCAACTGGATGTCTACCTGTAGAAAGATGCAAATAGATCCATACTTATCACCCTGCACAAAACTAAAGTCCAGGTGGATCAAAGATCTCAACATAAACTCAGATGCACTAAACCTATTAGAAGAAAAAGTGGGGAAGAGCCTTGAACTCATTAGCACAGGAGACAACTTCCTGAACAGAACACCAACAGCACAGGCTCTAAGAGCAACAATCAATAAATGGGACCTCATGAAACTGAAAAGTTTCTGTAAAGCAAAGGACACTGTCATCAGAACAAAATGACAGCCTACAGATTGGGAAAGGATCTTCACCAACAACTATATCTGACAGAGGGCTAATATTCCAGAATATATAAAGAACTCAAGAAGTTAAACAGCAACAAATCAAGTAATCCAATTAAAAATGGGGTACAGAGATAAACAGAGAATTCTCAATAGAGGAATATCAAATGGTAGAGAAACACTTAAAGAAATGTTCAACATCCTTAATCATCAAGGAAATGCAAATGAAAACGACCCTGAGATTTCACCTTATACCCATCAGAATGTCTAAGATAAAAAATTCAAGTGAGAACACATGCTGGAGAGGATGTGGAGAAAGGGGAACCCTCCTCCACTGCTGGTGGGAATGTAAAC